CTCCTCCTCCTCTTTCTTCTCCTCCTCCTCCTTCTCCTCCTGCTTCTCCTTCTCCTCCTTTCTCCTCCTCCTCCTCCTTTTTCTTGTTCTCCAGTTCTGTCTTTTCTGCTGCCACTGGTAACAATCCTCAGGTGGACCACCCACACCCAGCACCACACTGCTTCAGTTCATCTGGGTGTTACAAGTTGACCACATTGTCAACCCACCATAAGGGCCATCAACAGTAGTTTGATGGCTTCCAAACAAAAATAAACTAGTTGACTAAGAGATTAATACGCAAGATATAAATAGTAAGATTACAAGAAGCATTAACAAAGGTCATGTCCAGGACAGTAACAAAAACCCTCAATTCCAGATAATTTGACGAGAATATCTATGACTCAAATAGGTCTTCCCGGATCCTAGAAGCAGTCAGACAATTTTTGTGCCATGTCTCTTACTAACATAGGAACTACATTCTTCTTTTAGAAACAAACATAACCTTTGTTTCAGCATTTTGGAACTCTATTCCTCTAAATATGTTATGGTCACTGCTGCTAATGAGTTTATCTAGTCTTGAAGGACTTCAATACTCTGGGAAATTTTGTTAACAGTGTCTGTCAAGTTTAGGTAGCTACTGAGATAGGAGAAAGATGTAATTAGCTCTATAGTCTCATGTAAGTAATCCCTGCTTATTATCTCCATTAGAGGCAATTTTCAATACTCCAGAAATATCCCCCCAAAATTTAAAATACAAAAGAATTCATATTATAACATGGACCAGCAATCTTAATGTTAGTTAAAAAAATAAAAAAAAAAAGAATATCAAGACTAGTCACAACACTTACTTACAGGAAGAAAAGTGTTTTATCTGCTTTGTTACCTCTGGTGCTACTATTTCAGAAAGTTCAGCTGGGTAGCCTTTGATGTCTTCCACCTCAATACCTCCTGGACTTGCCTTGTGTGAACTGGAGTCTGTGGTTATAGCTTGTTTCCATGTCTTCTCACTTTTCCATTTCCTTAAATTTGTTTTCTATACTGATGCTTATAAGAACTGAAACCACCATACCACAGGGATATATGCACACCCATGTTTAAAGCATCACAATTTGTCATAGTTAAATCTTGGAAACACCCCAAATGCTCATCAATTGATAAATGGATAAAAAATATGGTATGTTTACACAATGGAATATTATTCAGCTATAAATTAAATTAATAATTATAATTAACGATATTTACAATCAAATGAAAATGCAGATACAACTTACCAGCACCTGTGGGATGCAATGAAAGCTGTCTTAAGAGGGAAATTTCTAGCGACAAATTCTCACATCAGGCAAACATAATGAGCACAAGTAAGCAATCTTGCACTAAACCTCAAACTCCTAGAAAAAAAGAGCAAGCCAAGTCCAAAACCCAAAAAGTCAAGAAATTATAAAGATCAGATCAGAAATAAATGCAACAGAGAGGAAGAAAACAATACAAAGAATTAATGAGTCAAAGAGTTGGTTCTTTGAAAGAATAAATAAAATTGATAAATCCCTAGCCAATCTCATTTTTAAAAATGAAAGAAAAAAATTCAAATTCATGCAATAAGGAATGAAAAGTATAAAAACAGGGGCCGGGGAGATGGCTCAGTAGAATAAGCACTTGCCTGGCAAAGCACAAGGGTCTGAGTTCAATCCCTGGTTCCGCCAAAAAAAAAAAAAAAGAAAAGAAAAAGAAAGAAAAGTGTAAAAACATGACACACCCTATAGAAATTTAGGGGATTACCAATACCTATTTCCAAAATCAATACTCCAAAGAATAGAAAATACAGAAGAAATGAGCAGATTCCTAAATACATATGAACTACTAAAGCTAAAGCAAAATGGTGTAAGAATTCTGACTAACCAAATATCACTCAATTAAATAAAAAATGTAATTTTAAAAAACTATCAACAAACAAAAGCCCAGGTTCTGATGGATTTACAACTGAATTCTACAAGAAACTTAGGGAGGACATAATGCCAACTTTTCTCAAGCTGTTCAATGAATTGAACAAAACTGAAGATAGACCTGCACAGTTTGAAGACAGGAATACAGCTAGTGAATATGAAAGGAAAGATATAGATAGATAGATAGATAGATAGATAGATAGATAGATAGATAGATAATTCAACAGCTGAAAGATGATGAAATATTGGTCAAGCAATGGCCATAACTCATCCACATGGCTGACACTGACAAAAGCTCTACTAACTGCTATACAGGGTTTCAGGGTAAATCTTGAGGGGATCTGACTGACTTTGTCAGATACAAAAGTTACATTTTTTTGTTATATAGGTCTTGCTTTATCTTGGTCTTAACCATCCAGCAGAAAAGTATAAAAACGAGGCATAAAAAGTAAAGCAATATTAATATGCTGAGCTGTAAAAGGCTCAACAACTTTTGACATTGCCAGTCCTGTGGACAACCCACTACTATTATGGACAACTGGACTATATTGGATTACCTTACTGAATTCATGCACTTACAATATATGAATGGAAATTGAAATACCATCTCTTAGAAAAGTAAACAGAAGAGGCCGGGGAGATGGCTCAGTGGAATAAGCACTTCCCTGGCAAGCACAAGGGCCTGAGTTCAATCCCTGATTCTGACAAAAAAAAAAAAAAAGTAAACAGAGAAGGTGGATATAAATGAAGGACAATTTTGTATCTGTATATACAAAATAGTTAGAACAGATATATAGCTACTTTCTCTTAGTTCAATAAAAAGGAAGTTTTGAACTAATAGCGTTTAGACAAGATATTATGTCTGTATCTTGTGCTATAAATAACTACTATGAAGACAACAATATGAAATATATTCATTATTGTAACTGTCCTATTAATCTGTTTTGAGACTATCTCATTGCTACTTCTTCCTCAATAAAATTAATGTTAAAAAAGATGATGCAATAAAAATTATATAAGAACAATTTATGTCAATGAAAAAGGAGTGAACTCTAGTGACATAAAAAAACTATTTGTGGAAATTTCCTAAGCATGAAATGGCAGAAATAGCAGGAACTTCCCCAAGCATATGAAAAAACTTCCCCAAGCATGTAGTTAAGTGAGGCATATAAACTCAAATTAACTAGAACCAAAATAAAGCTACATTCAGAAATATAATAATCAAGGTCCAAGAAACTCAGCACAAAAACAAAATATTAAAAGCTATTAGAGAAAAGAAACAGATTAACTATGAAGCAATGCCAGTCTGAAACATGGCAGACTTCTCAGTACAAACCCTTGGGTCAAGAAAAGCTTGGAATGAAGTATTTCAAGCTCAGAAAGAAAACCACTTCCAACCCAGATTGATGTACCCTAAAAATGTCTTTCAGAATTAATGGAGAAATGCGATATTTCCATGAAAAAGAACAACTGAACAAATTCGTGAGTACTAAAACAACCCTACAAATTCTAGACACAGATAAACTAACCACAGTTCCAAGAACAAAAGAAGAAAGAAATCGCCAAGCAGAACAAGAGGGGAGAAAAACGAACCAATAGCAGTGAAATAACATAACATGACAAAACCAAGATAAAACCTATCAGTTATTACTATCAGTGTAAATGTTCTCAACCCACCAATCAAAAGTAGCAGAATGGGGCCAGGGAGATAGCTCAGTAGAATAAGTGCTTGCCTGGCAATCGCAGGGTCCTGAGTTCAATCCCCAGTGCTGTAAAAACAAAAACAACAACAACAAAAAAAAAATAGTAGCAGATTAGCACAATTAATCAAGAAACAAGATCCAACAATATGCTGTATACAAGAAACACATTTAACTCAGAAAGGAATTCATACACTAAAAGTCAAAGGATGGAAAACATTATTCTATGTAATAGGAAACCAGAAAAAAAGTATGGGTAGCTATTCTTTTTACAGACAATGTAGGTATCAAACCAAGAATGATCAAAAGAGGAAAACAAGGTCACTGCATAATTGTTAATGGAAAAATTCAAAGACAAGAGACATATATATAGAGAGAGACATATATATATA